GTATCACACAACTGAAACTTTGATATACTGTATCTTCACCATTATGTCCGAATTAATAGAGAGACAATACAATGTTGTTGAGAATTTATCAAATATTAGCTTCAATTTGGCTGATTTTAAACATGATAGAAAAATTCAGATTTTCTTCTCGGTACAATAGTTATTATGACGTTATCGACATTAGTTACATAAAAAGAACTTTATTTCATTGCATTAGGCATTAATATTGTTTCACTGCTTTAGGTTAGGTTAGGTTATCTCTATATAAATATTACTGCAAGGTATCCCGAATAAGAAAATCTCACTACGAAAAGAATTTCTAGAAACAAATTATTTCACTGCTTTAGGTTAGGTTTAGGTTAGGTTAGGTTGTCTCTATATAAATATTATTGCAAGATATACCGAATAAGAAAATCTCACTACGAAAAGAATTTCTAGAAACAAATTATTTTACTGCTTTAGGTTAGGTTTAGGTTAGGTTAGGTTGTCTCTATATAGATATTATTGCAAGGTATGCCGTATAAGAAAATCTCAACTAATTTCTAAAAACAAATTATATTATTTCACTGCTTTAATTTAGGTTTAGGTTAGGTTAGGTTATCTCTATATAACTATCATTGCAAGGTATGCCGTATAAGAAAATCTCAACTAATTTCTAGAAACAAATTATATTATTTCACTGCTTTAGGTTAGGTTATCTCTATATAAATATTATTGCAAGGTATCTCAAATAAGAAAATCTCACTACGAAAAGAATTTCTCGAAACAAAAAGAAAACTAACGGAGATCAGTCAAGGAGAGAAATGAGGTTAGGAAAGCATTTCATAAAAACGTCATAAATAACTTAATTATTAAAACGTAAAAAGAGTTCAGCATAAATGTACAAAAAAAAAAAGATGCGAAATAAGGGTCGTAATGTCGGGGATTAAAGGAAGCAAGAACTTGACAAGAAATTAGTTGAGATTTTCTTAGAAATATCGTTGTAGTTAAGACAGACCCTTTGCAAAACTCACTGCTACAGAAAGTACCATTAGTAACTGAGACACGATTTCTTCCCAAGGAGAAATTTTTTTCCTTAACTCTCCTTGACTGACTTTCGTTAGTTTTTCGAGTCGACCTTCCTATGAATATGCAAATTCTCAGCCCCGAATATGACCGAGCGCGAAGGTTCTATGAATCTTTGTATAATGAAGTAGAACACACGTAACAAATTTCTAAGTTTATATTTAAAAAAAAAAA